TTAAAAGCCTCAGGCAAGACCTGAAGCCAGGGAGACTCTTAGCAGCCTTGACCATGTGCTGGGCTGAGACATGTAGGCTGTGGAAGGGCTGTGCCATTTTCTGCTTTTTGTTATTATCTTTATTTTAACATTTTGGAGGAGCATAAAAAGCCAGAGCAGTGCCAGGGAGAATTTCAGCCTCTTGGTCACAAGGAAAGGGAGCAAATGTGCTTTGCTTAATCTGGGTAGGTCACAGGTGCAAAATTATTTCCTTCCTTTGCCACATTTTCTGTATCTCTTCTTGATGCTTAGGAATCTGTTACTGAATATAATGAAGCCTCAGGATAGCTTACATGAATCAGAGCAAACCCAAGTTAGTTCTGCCCTTCTTGGAAGGATGATGTTTGTCATGAAAAGCAAAAACTTCTTCTTTTGAGAATCCAGAAACTTTGTGACAGCACCAACATTTCCACCTCTTTAGGAAAAGGAACAGAAAATTTCTTCTGGAGACCTTTTCTAGTGAAATTCAGAATAGGGTTGATATAACCTATTATAATTAGCATGAAAACATAGGGTCTGAAAACGGTTTTAGAAATGACACAGACTTTGAGATAGAAGAAACAAAACTCTCTAAAACCTCTCCAGGCTGTCTGAGAGCCTTGGTAGGAATGTGTCAGCCACAGTCCTAAAGCCTGTTTGTACTCTGAAGTTGCACCGTGTCATTTGAACCCTGCAGTTTGCCTGGAAGCTTTTTTGTTAGGGTTTACATTTTAGCTTTGACTGATGGACTGCAAATCACTTTTTAAAGTATCAGCCTTTTTACCAAACTTATGGAGAAGTAGAATATATTCTCATTAACCCTAGTGAAAATAGAAGCTTTAATGAGAGACTACTGAGCAGAATCCAGCACCAGGCAGGCTTGGGAAGCACAGCTGGGTCGCTTGGATCTTCCTGTTTCTGCAGATTTTATTCATGTCAGCTGTACCATCGAATATATCAACTTTTGGGCTGCTTTGAATCCTGCAGAGCTCTCAGCAAAGTGAAACAGAGGAGATAGGCAGCTACCTACAGCATCTTTTTGGCCTTGCTTCATGTCTGTTAACTTGCAATTTTGCTTAAAATACCCACCAGCTTTTCTCTACTTCTTTCAACAGTCCGTTTTCATGCCAAGGAAATGCTTGTTTTTAAAAGTTGTGGCCTCTCTGTAGTTGGTTATTAACAGCAGGGCTCGGGATCTTTCACACCCTGTCTGGGAGCTTCCCAAGGTCTCCATGGGTTCCACAGGAGATTTTGGGGTCCCCTGGCCATCCCAGACCTTCCCATGTGTGTCCAGCTGTGCAGCTTGTGGCGAGCAGCCTCGTGGCCGTGCCGGACCCGGCGGTGCCTGGCGCCAGCGCCCGCCTGCCTCCTGCCAAGCTGGACACAGCTCTGACAAAGGACAACTGTTTGGAGGAGTTGTTGTCTTGCTTGGTGCTCCTAATCCCTGGAATAACTGCTGTGACAAGCATAGTAACCATCTGCAGTGAGACCGACACATTGGTGCCTTTCAAGTGCAAGGATCGCAGCCACCTCCTCGGCCTCTTTTTTTCTTTGCTTTTCAAAAGCAAGATGAGGAGTTGGAAGCTCAAGCCCTGGATGAGTTTTCAGGAGCTGTAGTTACTCTAAGGTGCTTTTACAAATGCTAATTTTAACTAGAAGAGTATCTAGCCCACTTTAGCTGTTCATAATGTTTTTTTAAAATCGTATATGAAGCCCCACAAATCTGTCTTATACATCCTGGGCATTTGGAGAATATATGTCAAATTTTGCCCAGTATTCCCAGCCTTAGAGAGAAGGTTGGATTGCACAGCTTAAAAACCAAATAAGGCACATGTCTGCTGACTTCTGTGCAAACTCTGATGTGCACTAATCCCAGGGACTGGGCACTAACTGCTTTTTACCTTCACTAGATCCTGGGCTGTGGTGTTCTGTTATTCTCTGAAGCAGGCTGCTGTAGTATGCAGATATACTACCAGGATGTAGTGCAGGGTTTAGGCAGGCTTTTTTTCACTTGGAGACATGTCCACCCTATGGATTTATGTCCTCACACATCTGCAGCAGTACAAACATACAGATAGGTGTCCTGCACTTGCAATTCAGTTTCTATTGCCTCACTCAGATTTACATCAAAAAATTCCCCATTTAGATCAATGCAGAGTGTTTGTGTGTTTTTGGCATGGGAATAATCTCTTGGGCTTTTGATTTACACTGAAAAATTCCTGATACAAAGCGTCGCATTTTTACATTAAAGCAGTTATTGCCTTCCAGTTACGACTCTTGAGGTGGGCTGCTCTGCTTAAAGGAAAACTGCCCTGCTTGCATGTGGCAAATCAGCTAAATGAGCAAAACCTCTATTCAAGTGTCTGTCACTCTGTCAGACTGGTAATTTGGTTATTTGACCATTTCCCTGGGTGTTTGAGAAGAGCAAAGCAGGAGCTGTGGTTGCGAGACAAGGCAGATGGCATCATAAATACATAATGGAAATGGAGCCAAGCTCCAGGACGGGAGGGTTTGGGGGTGGTAATGCTCTGTCTCCGGGCAAACCCCTGGAGAGCTGCAGAGCCCTCGGTGCAGCCCTGGGGAGGAGGGGATATCCCCCAGATCCCACCTTGTTCCCAGCAGCTCGAGGCACCATCCTGCAGCTGCGGAACAATGGCCCAGATCTGCTTTCACACCACAGCTGGGGACACACAGGCTGCTTGTGTGACAGGGAAATAATGAATTCCAATTTGCTTTCCCTTCTGCTGTAGGGTCAGAAAAGCAAAGTTTCCTAGTCTGAAAAACAGGGAAGAGAGGAGAAGTGTTTAATTGCTTATTTGAATAAATTACCTCAATGTTTAAATTTTTAACTCCGTGAGAACTTTGATGCAAAATGTTATTTTCAAACGAGCTAGAAAAGGAGCTCAGTCAGTGAAAACTCAACGTTTCATCTTTCTGCCCTTTTTCCTCTGCTTTTTTGAAGAGGATTTAGCTCTCAAAGATCATGCTCCTTCGTGCCCTCCAGCTGGCAGGAGGTGAGGCAGGAAATACCCATTTGTCTGTGCTTCCTTGGCATGGTGCTTCTCACCTCCCTTCCTCCCTCAAAACAAGAACCATTTTTATGGCACTGACTAAACAGGATGGTGGAACAGTTAGACAGCAACCAGTTCCCAACAGAAGCTGTCTGTGAGACACTTGGCACAGGTGGAGGTCATGTTTCTTTTCTTTTTTTTTCCCATTTCTTTTTTCCTCTTTTCTTTTTGTCATTTTGCTGCCTCTTTTTTTTTTTTTTTTTTTTCATTCCTTGCTTTTTAGTAAGCAATTTCCATGGAGAACCCCACTGAATGCAGCATTTGTTATGCACAGAAACTCTGAGATGGCATCTGTCCCACCTGTGCTGTGTTGTAGCACTGTCAGGTGGTTTCCCAAATCATTCCTAAGTGCAGTGTAGGGGCACTGTAGGGACCAGCAGATCGAAATCTTGAGCTGGGCAGGTTAGAGAGCAGGAAACACCATGGTAGACACAGCCCAGCAGTGGGGAGAGGAGCTGCTCCCAAATGCTTTCATCAAGCAGGTCAAGGGTTCAGGGCATGCAGCTGCTCCAGTGCAGCAGCACTAACCCAAAGTGCAGCAGAGGAAGCCATTTAAACTGTAGCTGCTCCAGTCAATTGGCCTTTTGCCCTCTCAAAACCCAGGATCCCAATAAATCCCTGTCATGGTTGGGTCCCCAGCTGGGTGGTGTTTGCAGCTGCTGGTGACCAACATGGGATTTATCAGAGTGGAATTAGCCGTGACCTGTTTATTCCTCGCCTGATAAACTCAATAAGCTCCATGTGTTTGCTTGAATCCTCCATGTGTGTTCTGCTCATTGGGCCAGACCCTGGACAGGCAAGTGGGGGCTGGATTCCCCTGAGCACTGAGGTTGATAGATCTCTCCTCTATACAGGGTGGTCACAAGTACTTGTGTGCTTTAAAATCCATGTGAGATCAGTGTGCCCTGCAGTGGGAACTGTCTGCATTGCTCTTAATGCATCTTGAAAGTGGAAAATGTGGGCTTTTGGCTTACTTCATGACTCAAGAAGTGTGAATCAGCTAATTAACTAATGAAAAACTGAAATTCTGCATGGCATTTTAAGATGGAAAGTGTTGCAAATACTTGTGCATTTCTTGCTAATTCAATGGTAGCATTGCTGCATGTGAATGAGCCATTGGGGGTGCCTTTGAACTCTTCTGTTCACAAATTTTGGATATTCATCTGCTCCTTACCTGTGCAAATCATGGTGGCTTCAGTAGGGGCAGGGTTTACCTGAGAAAGTTAATTTTGGTGCTTGGTGAGGACACACCTGAAAAGGCAGATTTTGTTTTCTTATGTCACAAAGAACTTGTCTTGGTTTTTATAAATGATTGGCTCTTTATTTGGTTTTGGATAAATTCAATGATTATCTAAATGTATTAAATTTTGGGGGTTTTGGTTTATTTTCTTTTTAAATTGCAGTTCTCCATTAAGAGCAAACTTTTCCTAAAGTCTCACTGGTTCACCCAGAAGAGCTTTGCCTGTATTGATAGAATCCCAGCTGGAAGGGAGGCAGGTGCTGGGATGTGGTGGTATAGAGCAGCAGGAGCTTTGGGGAGATGGGCTGAGAGTGCTCGTCAGGCTCTTGGTGCTGCATGTTATCAGATCTCCTCACAGCCTGATGTATTTTGTGCAAAGTAGAAAGAACTGTGTAAATGAGTGCTTAGAATGACTCTATGAGACATATTGAATTTTATGCTGCAGCTGGAGAAACTTATCCTTAATTGAAGCTGTGGGCAAGTGTATGTCATTTTTGATTTAACATTTTCCCTCACCCCTCCACCCCCACCCCAACCAAAATCCTTCGTGGAGTCAGATTGTTGCTGTAGCTTTGTGAACCCCTCTCTTCTAATGTTTAATCAAGTGCTGAAAAGAGACATTTAAAGACTATTTAAAATGTGGAAAAATTGCTTCCCAATATTTTTGACAGAGAGAGACTGAGAACACACAGCATTGAATCATCAGGAAAATTGAAGATTTCCCCTGAGCAACATTGGGATTTTACAGCAGAGGACTTGAAAGACCTTGGAGAAATTGGACGAGGCGCTTATGGTTCTGTCAACAAAATGGTCCACAAACCAAGTGGGCAAATTATGGCAGTTAAAGTAGGTGATGCCCATCCTTACATTTGTCCTTCAGTCCGTTGGGATGCAGTGTGATGGAGAATTAAGGTTCTTCCATCTAGCACCCATCTACTGCTCTGTTCTATTTATTTCTGGTGTAAAGGCTGCTGTTTGCTGAAAATACAGTGTATAATGGGCATGTTTGCAGGTGATTTGTGAAGTTCTCATAATTGCTGTGCCCTTTTCAAAATGTCTATCAGGAACCTGCTGTTCTGAGGGGATCACACGTCTCTGGAGACTGATGATGGGGCACGGGCCTTTCACCTCTGGGTCACTGGTTCAGGTACAGCCTAGGCTGGTGGTAGGCACAATTTGACATCTCATAGCTTCTTGGTGTCTTTTGTGAAATAAGGTAATGGCTTAAAATTAGCTGTTTATGTCAGCATGTGCCATGGTGTGGCCTTGCCAGGAGGAGCTGGAATGGAGTGGATGTCTTCTAGGGAATGCTGTGCTCTTGCTGATGTATGATGGAGTGTCTGCTTTGTGCTTACCATGTCAGACTGTCCTGGAGGTGTAAAGTGTAGCAGGTTTCTTGACTGTCCATTTTCTGCTTTATGCTACCCAAAACCTCACCTTAGAACCAGGAACAGCCTCCTCTCCCAGCTGGGCAATAATTACCTGCCACAGCAGTGCTGTTCACTGGGCATCTTTGAGGAGCTACTTGTCCATGGAGGTGGGCAGCAGCTGTTCTCTGTCTCTCTGGACCTTTCCTTTGCTCACTGCAGGTTGCTAATGACATCTGTCTTTTAACTCTGTCGATGATATCAGCTGTAAGTGCTCTCATGGCTCCCAGGAAAAAGCAGAAGTGAGCCATGCAGGAGTCTGTGTTGCTGTCTTTTCCAACTCTCTGTCTTCTTCGGAATATTCCCTGATCCAATCTGGAAACATTTGCCCCTACTGGTCTCACATGCCAAGCAGACATATCTCAGCCCCAGCTGCTCTGAATATAATTCCTACCTGTCTCTAGTGTGTCAGGTTACTGGAGTGACCCCCATCCTTTGATCTTCTCCAGTACATACTGTCTTCCTCACAGTGCTGGGATCACTTGCTAGGTCTCTTTATTATTTTTGGTCACCATGCTGCTGTTTCAAGCTGGGTTTGAATCCCTGAAAGTCTCCAGTGGAGCTAGATGTTGCCTGTAGCTAAAGGCTGGTTTCTTTCAGTTGCCTTTGGTAGAACTCAAGTGTAGTTTGCAGGTGACAGGTTGAGAAACATTGACGTAGTGAAATGATTCCTGGACACCTCCATCTTCTCAGACTCAGGGTGTGTGACCTGGGTACCTGTACTTTTGCTAAGGGTGTGAAGGGGGCACACCCAGAGCTGAGTGGCTGTTTACCAGAGCTCTGCTGTGGCTACAGCCATGCAGAGAAGGATGCTTTGTTGGATTAGCTCATGCCATGGAAAAGATGTGTCTGCTGGCACAGGGATTCTCTTGTCCCATACTGTTTGCACAAGGGCTTTTCAGCATCCTAGGTGAGCCTTGTCACTGTTGAGGGCCCATGGTGCAGGTACAGCCATGTGAGAGGCAGAAGGCACCAATTCTGTATCCTTGAAGCACATGGCTGGAGATGGCATGGTGCAGCATGTTGAGCTGGCTTTCCCAAGGGATGAGGTGTGTTCTGAGCCTCGGGGGTTCTGGGCTTGGGGGCTCACTTTTAAACAAGTCAGTCTGATTTGTTTACAGTGACTAAACTGTGAAATGTTAAAGCTGTGGACTGGGCTGGTGCCATCTTCTTTTCTCTGACCCTATTTCTTTTGGGTGGAAATGACTGGGCCTGCTGGGAAAGAAAGGTTGGAGGGTTTGAGCAACAGCATCGTTTCTAAAACAGTAGTGGTAAGTGACTGTTCTCTTTGTCCCAGTGGGGAGGAAACACAAAATTGAGTAAAGGAAGACCTGTGGTTGGAACAGTCAGTGAGGCCTCCAAGGCAGCAGCAGCAATTCTCCAGAGTGGATGGTGCAGCTCTTTGAGATGAGGTTTCAGGATGGGGCTAAGCTTGTGCTAGTGACTAGTTCATCCCACACTCCTCAGATTTTCCTCTCAGCCTCCTGATGCTTTTGGGGCAGCACAGAGTGGTTGTGCATTTGTCTTCTGCTCCTCCTCTATCTTAATGTGTCCGTGTTGGGGACTGTTCTCCTCCTGCTCTCTCTTTCTCTTGAGCGTTGTGGTCTCTTCACCGTGGAACTGTTGCCTTCAGCCATGTGTTCTCTATAAGAGAAGTTAGAGAAGGGAAATTGAGTTTTGTGAGAATGTGTCAGTTTAGTGAGGCCTTGGCTATGATCTCCATGGCACCTGCAGCTCTGTGGTGTGGCACCGTGCTGGGGGCAGGTGACAGGATCCCCTCACAGCTGCGTTGTGGAGCCATTACGAGCCATGTCTCGTTATTTGGTTGAGCTGCTGTTGCTCCTGTGCTTCCCCAAGAGCAGCACCAGTGCAGCAGGCACTAAAAGGACATTCAGCACAAGGAAACAGCTTTGTGGAAGCTGCAAGTGAGAAGTTGGCTGTTATGAACTGCTCACTAGATGCAGAGAAAATTGGTACAGGGACCTGTCCCAACTACTCCTCCATCTTTCACCACTCCCCAGATTTCCACTACTGTTGCTGCAAATTCCCAGCATGGTCAGGAAGGGCTATGTTCTGCTTACAGCTACCATGACTAGGCCTGTCACCCCATTCTACCACAGGAAGATTCAAATTCTCCTTGTTCTGCAGGTGTGCAGTTGAAACATTGCTCATTTCCCCTTGCTGGAGTCTTCCTCTGGCTGAAGGCAGCTCCTGCTGTGCCAGGCCAGCTGGGCACCTCTGGGCACTCATCGTGCTCCCCTCAAAGGGTCTGGCTGCCAGAGCATATCTTCAAATTCTGTTCCCAGCTCCTTTCTCCTGCTTTTTGTAGCCTGTCCTGCCTTTGCTCAAGGAATAGTTCCTTGAAGCTTCCCAAGCTTTCCCCTGTTTGGTGTGTGTGGCATTGGTGCCACAGGGCACACAGGCTCCTGTGCCCTCTGGGCTCCCCCAGCACAGCCTTATTTTTGCTGCACATCCGGTTTTTCTTACCACTGAAGGAAAATAATTCCTGAGGGCTGAAATATCACCAAAATAACTTGAGATCTGCAGGTGGAGACACTGTTTTCTTTCATTTTTCCCTGTAACTCATTTTGGTCTATCAGCCTATGTGTCCTGACAGATGCAATCCTGGCACCTTCAATGAGTCTCCTGGCATGGGCAGGGCTGCCAGGACCTCGGTGAGTCAGGCTTTTCATCTGTGCTCCAGAGTCAGTAAAAAAGGAGGAAATGAGCCTGAAGTGAGCCTCATTGTATCCCTGCTAAAAGCACTGCAGCACAGCTTCAGCTGGTGGAGCATGGCTGGGGTGATGAGCTCTTGTCCCTCTCCTCTACCCTTAGTCATTCTCTTGGAATACTCGTTTCAATGACAAAAAGACATTCTGTACCTCTTTGGGAATAGGCTGGAGTGGTCTGCAGGGGCAGGGACCTGGTTCTCCTGTTGATGCCACCTGCAATTGTTTGTGCACCCCTTATGCTTTCTGCCATAGAGAGCTTCTTCCTGGAGCTATCAGGAGGAGGGGGAGAGGATGAAGGAAAGAGGGATCCAATTCAAGAGGATTAGTGTTCAAACCTTTCTCACTTTTGCCCCTAGAAAATGTTACGCTATGTTTTCCTAATCTCCAAATTTTTATTTCCATGTAAAAACCAATTCTTTCATTCTTCAGGCTGCTTCCTTTCAGATCTTCCTGGAGATGCACCTTTTTACTCTGGGTCAACTGTCATCACAGTCTTCCTGTCACTGAAAATACCTTTTTCATTTTCTTAAGGATTTTTTGGCATATGAGGTCAAGACTTTTCCAGGTGGAAAAGAGAACAGCCCAGTTTTGTCCAGTGTCAGATCTGGCTATGCAAACCAATAAATGCAAGGCCAGTTTGTATGCTGAATCCTCACCTTCTCAGGTTTCTCTTCCTGGCTCCTCACTGTCCTGGAAGAAATCTCTTTTCCTACATCAGCTCTTTGTGATCTTTCCTGGTCAGGCTTCCAGTTCTACCCACTGTCCTTTGATTTTGCTTCTGGTTTCTTGTTTCTGTGTTAGTCTGGTTTTCCCAGTCTTTGGCAGTCTGTAAGTGACTTGTGTCCATTGTCCTGAGCTTCCCACTGTGCAGGGAGCCCTGGTTCCTCCTTAGGATCTGCTCCAGTGCTGACCTGGTTTTGCCTGAGAGGCTCCACAGTATGGGCAGTTCTCCAGCCCTTTTTGTATTTGCTTCCACCATCACCACATGGTGTTGTCCCAGCTGCTCCAGGGACTGTGCCTCTTGTTCCTTGAGGGTACCACAAATTAGAGGCACATAGGGAAGCCCCATTTATTTGGATGAAATGTTTTCTTGGGAAACTTGCCCAGCTGCTGAGGGCTGTAATTTCTGTGCTGAGGTTTCCTTCTGGCCCTGGTGAAAGTTCACACAAAAAGGATGCTTTAAAAGATCCCTGGAATATGAATAAAAAAAAGATAGCCCAAACTGGAATGAAAGCTGGGAGCATTCTTCCAGTTAGAGCAGGATGCTCTGCTTTGGACTGAAATGCTGTACATGGTGTGGGTGTTCTTAGCCAGGGTACTTCACAGTGCCTCTGGAAGGCTTGGAAAGCTGCGTGTTTGAAAAGTTGATAAAATAAATAAGAACATATTTTAAATGGTCAACCTTTGATGTGTTGGGTGGCTCCTGTGCGGGTCAGGAGCCTAAACACAGCAGTGGTGTCCTGAGCATCTGGTGTTCCTGGCAGTGATGTGTGAGCCTCAGGCTCAGGCAGGAGATCTTCACCTGCTCCTCACCTCTTCTGCCCTGCAGCAGGGAACACCTCGGACATCTGGGGTTCACCATCAGCAGCTTCTCCCAGTTTCATTTCAACCAGTTCAACTGGCTGTGAAATACATCACCAGGAGATGAGTGGAGTGGTTTGTGCTTTGATTGACCTTTAAGCTTCTTGCCATGGAAGCATTCTGCACTTCTTTTTAATAGAATTATTTTTTCGTCAGGAATGGTTACAGCTGGCAGAGTAACCCAGCTGGGGCAGAGGTTGGTTTTGTCCATGGTGTTCAGTTTTCCACCTCAAAATAAAGTGATTTTCAGCTGTAGGCCAGAATTTTCTGTGTCTTCCAATATCCTCAGCCTGGCTGGCTTAGTCCCACTGCAGTATTGCCTAGTCCAGCCTCCAGTTACTGTCAGTGTCCTCAGCCATTGTTGCTGGTTCCCTGCTTTCTCTTTAGTTTAACAATAATTTTGACATGCTCTACTTGTTCTCGAAACTTGTCCTAAGGAAATCAGAAGCATTTTCAAGATCCGTTGGGTAATTGGAGGTGTCAGACCCATGGGCCCATTAGATTCCTGTTATTCCTGGGGAAGCCAGTAAGCCATGGAACTGTTTCTTGTTCTGAGCACAGTGTCTCTTGTACATCATTTTGGTAGTCAGTGCTTGTTCTCTTATCCACAGCTTCAAACCAGAAGTTCCTGTCTGATTTTCTCAGGTTTCTCGATGGCAGTCTCATAGCTGAAGGAGATTGCTAAGTATCAAATGCCCCTGAGAGCAGAAATGTAACATTTTATTTATACCTCCATGATCTCTCCATCCTTTCCTCGATGCCCCATAGCCCATAAAGGCCCATCAGAATGATACATTAGTATATTTAGCTCTATCCAGGGGCAAATTTCTCTGTCATTCCCATGTCCACATGACTTCCAAAGAGAAGTCTTGGGGTTTTATTGCCAAACCATCAATATAATTCTTCACAGAATTGAGTGACACCTTCAGAATTTTCTGTTTCAGTCACTTGTTTAGGTCTGGTGGCTGAGAGTTGTTCCCAGTCCTGTTGGTAGGGTAGCTGGGGAGGGAGTGGATGAGTAAGAGCTGAAAAGGAGCGGTCAGAGAGAGTTAGGGCCTCCCCACAGGAGGTGGAAATCTGGTTGTGATCTACTTCAGTCAGCATTAAACGTGTTTCAGATGGGGAGATAGATATTCCCATCCTCAGCAGTGACTGGGCAAAACCCTCTTTCTGCTACTGGTTTGTTATCCCAAATCCCTGCCATCCCATGGAAGGACCACTTCCCCCATGGCACTGCCTGGCACTGCTGTGCTGAGCTTTCTGCTGAGGACAAGGTGAGCCCTGTGCTCAGGACAGTTCTGGATTGTCTCACAATTCAAGGAGTTGAGTTTCAGTTTGGTGTTTTCAGCTTAATTTTCCTTTTGTTTTAGATTTTTTTTTCAACCAGTCACTTCACGCTGCACCTGAATCTTTCTGTGTGCATATTGGGCTGGATGATGTCCCTTCTGTTTTGGGTCAAGTGTCTGGAATCTGCCTGGTTTTAGGTTTCAGGGTGGCACAATCCACAGCACAGACTGTGCTTTTGCTGTTGATGCTACTCAGAGCAAGGCTTCAGAGCTCTTCCTCATGGTTTGGAAGGCTTTGTTCTAACCTGTGTTAGAATAAAAAGGTCTGGAGAATTTTCTCCCAGAGGATTTGATACAGTTTAAATTGAAGGCCAACAAGGAATTGTTAAAAAGGAGACTCCATAAGCTTCTACTACAAATCCCCCTTTTCCACCCGTGGCTGTTTGGCCGTGGGGTCACTTAGCAGTGACTGCCTACAGGAAGGTGACTGGGCTGAGATCTGTAAGGCCTGAAGTGAAGCCAGCCCCTGTCCATCCCTGTCTGAAATGCTGCCTTCAAGCAGCTCCCTCACCTTGTGTCTTCCTTCCCTGCCATGTCCCATGTTCTTGGGGAGTGTCTGTGGGTGCTGCTGCAGTGCTTTGCACCGTGCCTTGGGTTTAGGTAGCAGGTTGTATCATGGCTCACGTGCTACTTGGGTAGTGGCTGCTGTTGACTTTCCTCACCTTCCCAGTTCTGCTGCTGAACTGGGAGTACTGGGCTGCAGCAGGCTCCCTGGCACACTGCAGCTGAACAGAGCCACCCTGTCCAGCCTGGGCTGACCCTGTCTGTGTGCTGCACTGCATGCTGCTCCTCAGAGCTCTCCCTTTCTCTTGCCTTTGCCCGTCTCCAGCACTGTTGTATGAGACTCCCAATCTTGTATCATGGCATTCCTTTCACTCACTGGAGCAGTATTTGTTGTAGTGTCCACGTTGGCTTCTCAAGCTGACCTCTGCCCTCTAGCTGACCCACTGTCTGTGCTCTGGGTCCTCTGCCAGCCCTTTCTTGTTGAGGAGTTTCTGTTTGAGAAGAGGAGTGTTTGGGTTCAGTGTTGTTCTGGAGTGCCATTAAAATCACCTCTACCATACAGCATTTATTTCACATGGTTTCCAGTGTTGGAGAAGTGACAGCAGAGGAGGAATGTCAGAGGTGGGAGGAGACGTTTTCAGCTGTGAGCTTTGAGGAGGATGCTATGGAGTTGGCTGTGACAGGAATGTGCAGGTGCAAGGCCAGTGCAGAGCAGGGCTGGGACAACTCTCAGATGACCAGAGAAGAGGCTTTTTGGAGACAGACATGGAGTGGGCACAGAAGGAGAATAGTAGTTACAATATGGAGAAAAGCTGCTTTTGGTTCCTCACCAGAGGCGACCTTTTCAGAGTGGGTCACGTCTCAGTGAGAGGCTGAACTATTGGTCATAGGCCTCACCACGGTGGCTTTGGTATCCCTCACCTTCTGTGGAGGTCAGAGCAGTGGCATTTCCATTTCACACAGTGCTGCTGGTGTGCTGTCACTTGGAGACATTCACTCTGCTCAGCCTTCAGCCTCTTGGGGGGATTGCAGAGCTTTGTATGGTGAGGGCACAAGAGCAGGAAATAGCCAGTGGCTGTCTGAACCTGTGTTGACACAGACCTGAACCAGTGACCTGGAGGTGAAGTGTTTTAGTTCCATTCCTGGCTCGTTGAGCTGCTTCTTGCTCTGTTGGTGACACAGAGCCCCACCTGCTCAGCACAGCACAGATACTACACACTGTGGGTGCTGGACAAGTCTCCTGACACGTCCCCAAGAACTCTAGAACTCACAGGGTGGGAAAAGGGCAATACAAACATATTATTTACTGGTCTGGGCCAAACTAGAGATACTAGAACATTGAGAACAAGTGGTTAAATACCAAAATACCAGGCTACACTACAGGTAAGGAAAATTACAGTGTTGGTATTGTCCTTGTTTTGTATGGGTCATCACAAAATAAGACCTAAAGTACATAATGGTGCACTGTTTCACATGTAGTGCTATATGAATGGCCAGCCTTGAAAGTACCTTCATTCACCTGGCCTGTGCTGGCTGATGTGTGTGGTCCTGATGCCAACAGCATTGCCCATGAGGCCACAGTATTGGTGAAATGGGTGCTAGTATCATATCTTGCAGATTTTTCCCACAAGCTTGAATAATTTTTTCTTTCTTGGATATCCATGTAGTTTTTGTCCCTGAGGATGGTCCTGGCTACCTCTGTTGCCTTGGACTTCTTGCCAGATATTTTTTCTTGGTTTTTTTTTTTTTTTTTTTAATGGTTTTTCAACATGAGTCACAGCTTCAGGATCACGATTTCCTCACTTGTGATTCAGAGAATGTATTAATTAGTGCAAGATGTTAAATATATCTGTAAAACCACATGAAAAACTGGATGGTTGTCTCCATCCTTCATTTAACCAGTTTTATGTTTGAAAATGTACGGTTTTAGGTTTTCAAATGTGCATTGTTCTTTCAAGCCTAAATGAAACTTTTCGTCATATATAGTGTACATATAAAGTACAGTGTGTGCATACATATATACCTCTACATACACATGGGATATGTGTCTTTATAAAGTCTCTTTTATACAGTGTTGATGTTCCCTCAGCCAGTACTAGGTAAAGGATTGTTAGTTTTATGAGAAGAGCTCACAGGACTGCTGCCCATCATTAACAATACCACAGAAATGTGTTCCTGGGTTATGTGGCAGTCCCTTCTCCCCAGCCATGGTTGAGGCTGTGGAAGGAGCCTTTTTGGCTTTTGTGCTTAGAAATTTTAAACATAATGTTCCTCGGTTAAATTTCAAACCAGTCTTCAAGCCCTGTCCAACATAGCTAAGAACTGTGTGGGAATTTGTTTTGAAATGAAAGCCTGGATGTGGTGTTTCTCTATAGTTTTCAATGAAATTTCCGCTCTTTAATTTCTTCCTGACATTTCATCTGAAAATGTTGATGCTTATGCGAGGACTGAGGGTTTTACAGTCTGATTAAACAGCTTTAGAAGTGTTCAGTTACATTTCTTATTTGAGAGCATTGCTTGATTCTCTAGAGTGTTTTTGAGCATGCCTGGGGTTCTGCCTGCTCTGCTTGGGTTTGGGGTCCCGGTGACGTGTCTCCATCAGCAGGGCTGAGGATGCAGTAATGGCATGGAAGTGATAAAGTCTCTGCCACTCTTCCTCTTTCAGAGAATTCGGTCGACAGTGGATGAAAAGGAGCAGAAGCAGCTTCTGATGGACCTTGATGTAGTGATGCGAAGCAGTGACTGCCCCTATATTGTTCAGTTTTATGGCGCGCTCTTCAGAGAGGTGGGCACCCCAAACTTGCTTCACTTGTAGCAGAGTTTGGGTTTTACCTTGTTTTTTTCCCTTTGTAATTTCAAACTCATGCCAAGGAGGAAAAAATTGATTCATGTTAGGTTTCTTGGTTCTCCACTTTTACTCAAGGATGTTTAGCCAGGAGACCCAGGTGTCTGGGCACTGCTGAGCAAGCATTTGGTCCCTTTGCAGCAGGAGTTTTGGAGAAGATCAGTGTTGAAACCTGACTGCTGCTTCTCCTTCCTCTTGTAGTTCTTCTGCAGTCTTGGATTATCCCTGCTCCTGTAATTGCTCTGTTGTTGAAACTGCCACAGTATAGGGGGACAGACATGGAGCCCCTGCCTGTTTTCCACTACTTCAGCACAAATCCAGTACCTCTGCTCAAGGGAAGAAGGAAAATAGAGACCTAAGGGCTGCAGGTGGTTTTTGGGGATTATCAGTCATAGCAGCCTGTGCAGAGTCTTGTGGGGTTTTACTGGAAAACTTTCACACAGAGGTCATTGTTATAGGTAAAACCCAAAACTGTGTCTGAATATTCAATTCCTGCTTCTAGAAAGTTCTCCTCTGTAATTTTGCCGGGTCACTCCTCTGGCTTTAAATCTCATTCTCTAAAATAAGCATAATAATCCTACCTTTTCCCATGCTCTGTTCTTTGTGATCTTTTTGAGCACAGAGCCATTTTGGGCCAGTAGGCTTTGTCCATGCTCACACAGTACAAGCTCCTACTGTGTGTGGAGCCTCAGCTTGGCTGGAAATTTCTGGCTTTGCTCAGATAAAGGTGGCAAGCCTGTCAGTTGGTGAGAGGAAAGGTCTGTGGACAAAACAGTGTCTTGCCAGATGCTAATGAATAACATGCTCAGAGCTGTGCAAGCCTCTCACCTCCCTTCAGCTCTGGGCACATCCCAGGATGGAAATGTAAATACATAAACAATATAAAAACTTACCTTAACCAGCACCCAAATGTTGGCTTGGCTGCACTCTTTGTCATGTCCAAAAATCTCCTCATCCTGCAGCCAGACAGGGCTCCCAGGGCTCCTTGCATGCTCTGTCTGGGAAAGGTTTCATTGGCATTGCTCTGATTGGAGTTAAATCCCCTTTTCCCCTCTTCAGCATAAGCAGTGTTTGCTTCAGAGATGAAAGCAGCCTTCCCTCTCCTTGGTCCCTTACTACCTAGGGATGTTCCAAGTCATGTTCCTCAAAGGTACACAGGGTGAGCTGGGAGGCTTCCATAAAGTTTTCTGTCTTGTCCTATTAATTACTTGTATTAAGTATTAATACAATATTAAGTAGAATCTTAACCTTTTAAAGATAGCAAAGTATGACAGCAGAGAAGCACAGAAGGGAAAAACAGGAATTTCACCAGGCTGTTTGGATCTGTCTGAGCCCCCCCCCAGTCTGCTTATCAGATCTGTTCTCAAAGAACTGTGAAAGATCCAGGTCACTGCTGCACCCTCCTTTGGGGTGTAAGAGCTCATGGGACATTGGTAAAAACCGAAACTCTTTCAGGAAATCTGCAGCAAACTATATTAAACAAAGCTCTTTGTTCCGGCATTTCAAGGTGAAAAGTAAGGAAATCCTTTTGGGATTACTTGCTCTGAGCAGGGATTCAGGTTCTCTGGCTATGGATGGAGCAACTGATGAGAAATCTTCTTTGCCTGCTCCTAAAAGGTGAAAGACTTCCATTACAGGAGTTTACCGTGCTGAATAGGCAGCGTGTGCAGTCACAGGGTTGGCAGGGTCCGAGCAGCTCCAGGAGAAGCAGCAGGGCAGCTGGCACAAAGGAAAGGCAGGCAGCCTTCCACAACTGGGAGTGTTTGATGTGGAGAGGCAGAGCTAAGCTCTGGGATCCAGACAGTTTAGGAATACTAAACCAAATAGGACAAAATTATGCAAGATCTTACTTTGTAGCCAGACAAGTGTCCCAGCTTGCAGTCAGGGAAGTAGCTGTGAGTACAAGTTAATGTGGCAGTCTCTGTGAATAACAGCAGTTTGATTTGGAAAGGCAGAAAATACTACACAAAAATTTCTGTAGTTGCATTTTCTCTTGCTTGTTCCACATTTGTGTGGTAGGGAGAGTCTTCTCGGGGTCCTGCTTGTCCCTCAGCAGGCAGCACCTGAACCTTTATCTTCTGCTGCCTGTTCTTCAGTCAGAAGGGACATCTCTGGTACAGTATGTCTGTGCATGTGATGGAACGTGTAACAGTGCAACAAGCACAAGTTGATTGCCAGGTACAGGACTTCGCTTTAGCTCATTGGCACCTGCTAGATGAAATTAAATTGCCTGGTCAATGAAACAAGAGCAAAGCTGAAAAAGTAAAAGACAGTGTTTCAGTCTGTGCATGGAATCAGGGGCTTCAGTGCAGTGTGGCCAGGACATGGTTGGCTTTTTGGGCTCCAAGCACATGTTACCATCTCATGTCCAATTTTTCATCCACCAGTATCTCCCAGCTCTTCTCCTCAGGGCTGCTTTCAATTCCATCATCATTATACTGGTGAGTGCCCTGACCAAAGTGCAGGATCTTACACTTGTTGAACTTTGTGGGATTCCCACTGGCCCCAGGAGACCAGCTGGTTTTCCATACTGCACCCAGGAGAGCTCAGAGTCCTAGTGCACACAGAGCTGTCTACATTGGCCATCAGAGATCTGATTGAAGAGCATCTGGCTACTCGTGCTCAATGTGCTTCCTCTGAAGGCTGTACTTGCTAGATGGGGGAAGAAAAAAAAATTGGTTGACAGGGCTTCTGCAAACATTTCACTTGAATCTCTCCTTGTGAGAAAAGAGGAGCTGTGGGCTGAGCCCACAGGGCTGCACTGGGACCTCCAAGACTTTGGCCCTGAGCATAGCTGTTTCAAGAGGCTTTTAGGTCTGAGAAAAAAATGGTTTACATTTCTTGTCTGTTCTGCTGCAAGCTTTACAGCTGCTCTGGTTTGAAACAGTACCTGTAAAGCTGGGAATGTTTAAGTACTTACCATGACCACACTAGTGGCTCTTCAAAGTACCTGTTCTGATTGTGTTTCTTTTTAAGAGGGGAAGAGGAAAGAAGCTTTATCTGACTTGGAATCTCAGGAGTGACTCCTACACAGTGCAAGTTGAAAGTAGTTGAGCCAAGTTTAAACCAACAAGTTCAATACTTGATAAAATTATGCGATGAAAAATTCATTGCAAGTTGCAGAACATGCCTAGGAAGCTGAATAAATCAGCCCATGGGGAACTTCTGCTGGCAGGAGAGAAGAGCTGGGATGGATGTGTTGGTAGCACAGTGCTGGGCTGGTGTGAATTGCTGACATAGCCTTGCTCAGTTGTTTGATCTCTTTGCTGTTGATGCATCTCACGCTGTTTTTATGGAAATCCTTGACTGTGCTGCCATTCCTCAGCACATCTGTTCCTGTTGTCAGTTCCTGGTCTGTAGGAAAAGTGTCCTGTGTGCCATGTAAATATATAGTGGTGATGATGACATTTGCCAGTCTCTGTCACTGGTGTAGCTGCAGCTTGGATAAAGAGCTGGCTGCCCCTGCAGTGAGCAGATGTGATAAACCTTCAGCATTTGTATCATAGAGTGGTGGGTGTTGGCAGGGACCTCTGAGGTCACCTTTTCCAACCCCCATGATCAAGTGGGGCCACTTGACCAAGATTGTGTCCAAACAGCTTTTGAATCTCCAGGGATAGTGTCTCCACTGTCTCCTGAGGCAGTGCCAGTGATGAATCCCCCTGACAAAGTGTTTCCTCATGTTCAGAGGGAACCTCCTGTGTGTCAGGTTGGGCCCTGCTCATGTTGCTTGGCACCACTGAGAGATCCTGGCTCCATCTCCTGTGCAGCTTCTTCTCAGGTTGATGAGATTCCCCTGAACCTTCTCCAAGTGGAGCAGTCCTGGCTTTATCTGCCTTTCTCATAGGGAGGATGCTCCTGTTCCTCAGTCTTCTGAGCTGTCCTTTGCTGGAGTCTGTCTTATACTGGGGAGCCCAGCACTGGTCACAGCACTCCAGGTGTGGCCTCACCATTGCTGGATTGAGGGGAAGGATCACCTCCCTCCACCTGCTGGTGATGCTTTGTCTCATGCTGTGATCCTTCAGGCCCAGCAAAGATGCATTATTGGCTCATGTTCAGCTTAATGTCCAGCTGGACCCACAGGTCCTTTCCTGGTGAGCTGCACTCCAGTGAGTGGCATCTTTGTGACAGCTGCTCCCTTGTCAGTGGGAATCCTCTGCACTGAGAAGCTGAAGTGCCTCCATTGCTTGTGAAGTGGCTTTTGTGTCTATCCTGGACAGGAATATTTTGAATTAAATGCACAGGGTGTTCCTGGACATTTTTTGGAATGTCTACAAGATGTGCATTAGCATCTGGTAATCTAATACCCAAAAAGGACTAAAATACGTTATTTGGAAGAATAGCTCTAATAGGAAGAGAAAATTAAAGTGCTTCTTTTGTCATTTTATGATTGGAAATGAACCTGACCTAAGAGGCAAAATTTAAAGTGAAACTTTCATTAGGGTGGTTTTGTCCTCACAGTTCACAAAGGAGTAGACTTGCCCATGTACATCAGGACTTCTTGGTATTTATTCAGGAAGACAGCTGAGTCCCCATTGCCCAGCCAGTCTTCCTTTTTCTTCCCATTAAATTTCACCAGTTTGCCAACAGGTAAGGCTCTCCAAGTTCCAGGAGGAGTTAGCCTGTAGAGTTCTGGATCTTGCCACCTCAGCCTTAAGGATGCTGCTTAGTGGAAAAGGCCTGTTATCTTTTTCCATTGATCTTGCTGACATGAATTCATGTAGGTCAGGTAGGTTTTTATATTACCAGATCAATAAATACCCCCATTCAGGAGTTCTGTATGGCATCTACTTCAGGAGACCAGTAAACCAGGTCTTTCCTTGAGTGTTTTTGATCATAAAAGGGGATTTTATGCTTAAAAATCACAATTGGATAGAAATTTGTTGTGCTTACTTGAGGTTTCAGTACCATAGCCATACCAGCCTGTAATGCAGAGTACACATGTAGCCTTTTTTATGATAATGGCTCTGCTCAAGTGTCGTTCACTTGCTTTGTTTTGCTGTCCAAACATCAGCTGTTGTAACCTGGGCAGTGGGAGCCACTCACAGTACTGGTGCAATTGGACTAAATACAAGGCTGCAGGTGGTCAGTGGTATTCTGGCTCTCTAGACAGGAATATAGCCCTGTCCCAATTTTTTTATAAATCTGATTGAAACAGAAGCAGTTTTTGAATGATCCTGTGGCCAGTAGAACCAGTCCACAAGAGAGAGGATGCTCTCACTACAGACTGCTCGTAAAGCTCTGGTGGGCTTCTAGTCTCACTTGATTTATGCACATCACTGCCACTGGAGCCACATTGCTTGCCTTGAGCCACTCTCCATCATATGAAGTGCTTCATCTGCATTTTGCATTTGTTGCAAAAAAAAAAAAAGAGGAATTTTCTGCGTGTATTGTCCAGTTTCATTTCTGTAGTTTAAATCTGAACAATTCCTTAGCCAACTTCCTCCATAGCCAACCTGCAGTCTGTAGCAGCCCAGGTTCACCCTTTTCCAGGTCTCCTGAAGTGTGCTGATCATATCCTCATCCTGCTGTGCTGCTCTGGCCTCTTTCACTGTGATGTCCCTGCTTCTGTGTCTGTCACAGCACTTATTCCATCTTCTGGGTTTTTTGGGTGAAATGAGAGTTTTCTAGGCTTGGGCTTGTAGCAGCCCTTGAATGGATGACATCAGCTCCTGCTCTGCCTTGAGCTGATGTGAAAAGCCTGATGCCAAATGAGCAGCCTAAACTGAAGCTGCCCATGGCTGTAAACCAAAGTCTTCTTCCTCAGCCAGACAGCCCTTCCTAGGACAGCAACTCCCCTCTTCTGGGTGTTCCTCTGTGCCTGCAGCCTTCTGGAGAGCAAAACAGTGTGTGCATTCATCTGGATTCAGGGATCTAAACTTTAATGTCACGTGGGAGTTGGGCAGGTAAATGCTTCTGCTGTGAATGGAAGCAAGTCTTTCATTGCTAAAACCAGTCAAGCTGAATTCCATCCTTTCTGTCAAATGCACGTTGCTGTTAATGTATTTCATAGGATTCAATGGATCTCTGTATGCTCTCTGGATTTGTATTTCTCATTTTTATCTCAACAGTAACACACATTCTTTTCTCTTTCCAGGGTGACTGTTGGATCTGTATGGAGCTCATGTCTACCTCGTTTGATAAGTTTTACAAATATGTATATAGTGTATTAGATGATGTTATTCCAGAAGAAATCTTAGGCAAAATCACTTTAGCTGTGAGTATTTTGTTAAACCTTTTTGTTGAAGATAATTGAAAAGTTCAGATCCTTGTTCAGATCACACTCCATGTGAAAAGCTGGTTGGTCTGTGGAGCAGAATTGCTGCTGCTCTTTGCATCACACTGGGAATGGTTCTTCAGGGTGCTCATGACTTTTCCACAGTATGTTGCATGGTGAAAATGGAGGTCCTGGGGTCAGTAATCAGTTCATAGACAGCCCCAGGACCAGCTTCCTGCTCTGTCTGCTTGAATGTGAGCACCAGCAGCACAGGCACCAGCCCAGACAAGAGAAGCTTCTGGCAGTCTTGTGCAAAGGCTCCCAAAAGCACTGGAGAACCTGGCTGATGTTTTCTTGATATAACCTGAAAGTTCTGGCCTAATGAAAAGTCAGGTAATTCAAAGAGTTGTGACCTACTGAAAAAAATACAGCACAGGGCTTGAAATAAGTTATTGCTCAGGATAATTAATCAGAGATTGTTCTGGCTCCACCTCTTGCTCCCCTCTCCCAGAGTGGGATCTTTGCAGGTCACAGGGGATGTGTGCTCACTTAAGCCCATACCCTCTCTTATATCACCTTCTTTTATTTTGTGGCATATTACAGCATTGATACCTCAGTGTATTAAATGCTTTTACCCCTGTTCTTGGAGTTCCAAAAATTTAATAATCACAGGACTTTCATAACATCTGCTTATTTTTCATCTATTTTTCTTTCCTAGACTGTGAAAGCACTAAACCACTTAAAAGAAAACTTGAAAATCATTCACAGAGGTGAGTTCTTTGTGTCCTTTTTTAAGTTCATGTCTTTTTTTTCTTCTCTGTTAAAATAATTGCAAGAATTGCTAGTGGCCTTTGGTTCCCTCAGAGTTTAAGCACAGCACCTGTACCGCTGTGAGTCCAGGTGCAGCTTTTGAACAAATGTCCCAGTGCCTTTTCTGCTGCCCCTTCAGCCTATGCTTTTTTTCCATGTAAGTGTGATTTCAGGGTGGTTGGGCATCTGCTTCTGCCTTTGTGGCATCTCTGGGGCTGACTCCATCCCCTCCTGCTCCCGTGCAGGATCCAGCACCAAGGGTGACGGCGACAGCGCGGCACTGCCCGCCTCGATCCTCTGCAGCTGCTCTGCTTGAAATTGAAACCTCCAGCCGTGACTTACTGGTTTAAATTTCTTTCCCCTGCAGACATCAAACCTTCCAATATTCTTCTGGACAGAAATGGAAATATTAAACTCTGTGACTTTGGCATTAGTGGACAGCTCGTGGACTCCATTGCCAAAACGCGGGATGCAGGGTGCCGGCCGTACATGGCGGTGAGTGGGATGAGCCCTGGGCTCTGTGGGATCTCACCCTCCCTGTCAGCAGTGTTTCCTGTGGGATGAGCACCCCTTTCCTGGATGAAACTGAGCTCTGGATTGAGTGCTGCTGTGGCAGTGTCATCCAGGCTGTGGCAAAGTGACCAAATTCTTGGTGTTTTGCTGGGTTCCTCTGCTGCTGCCAGGGCTGTGGTGCTGGAATGGGGAGGAGCTCTGTGCCTTCCAGCAGCTCCAAAACACCACTGCCCAGGGGAGCAGAGTGTGGGTTTGTCTTGGTCTGCAAGAAATCCATTTGCTCTGGTAAGATTATGTCACAGGAGTTATTGCAGAGCAGAATTACAGTGATTTTTGTAAACCACTTTAATTCCAAAGTGTGCCAGAACTTCATTCCAGGAGAATGTGATTCTGGAGAGCAGCAGTAGCAGAGCAGCTGTGTGGAAATTGCTGGGGCTGAGTCGTGGCTCCTGGGAGTCTGTCCTGCTTCTTTGCTGCCCTCCCCCTCCCAGAGAGAAAAGCTGTAGTGGTGGTTTTGGAAGCTGTCTGACGGTTTTAAACACTTCAGTGCTTCAGGATGCTTCGAAAATGCATCTCTGTTCTCACATGAGGAGGGTACCTTGTGCAGGGAGCTGTGTCCCTGCTGCTGTTCATATAATTTTAATTTTAGTGCCTGTCTTTAGTTTTTGTTATATATTTATGGCTCTGTATGCTGAAAAATGCTGTTTTCTGAACTCTTTTTATCTACTACCACGTAGAAAAAAGGAAAGTATCTCTCTTTTAAGACATGATTCCCATCTGGCCCAGGCTATAGCTCTCAGATGGCTTTTCTCTGACCAAGGCAAAACCTGTCTGCCCTGACTCTGATCTTTCTTTGAGCCATGGGTAGGTGGTTGGCTCTGCTCAGGCTCTTGGGGTAGTTATGCCATGACCATTCCTGAGATGTCTGTAAATAGTGCAGTACTCCCTTTCCCCTGGGATGTTGGTGGGTGAGTGCTTCTTTAGCCCTTTGGTTTTCCTTTTTCCTGTCTGTCTGACTGCATGCACTCTGTGATTTGTGCAGCTCCATTGGCAGCTCCAGGCTTGGGTGGACTTTTAAGTGAGTGAGCAAAAGTGTTGCAGTTCAGTTTGTGTTTTTCAGAGCCTTGGCAGGGCACAGGGTTTGTGGGGCAGCCAGCAGCTGGCAAATGATGTGGGAGATGATTGGCCTCTTCCCTGCTGCTCTGCAGCCTCAGTGACTCCTTCCCAAGTACATGAGCATTTCCACGTACCAGGGAGCCTGGGAAATGGGGAGATGTCCCCAGTGTGCAGGCACATCTATCAGCTATTTCTCCAAGCCAGCAGAGGCTGAATCTGAAGGGATGCTGTGATCAAACTGGATATACCTGGAAAAGAGTCAGGCTGCCACACTCCTCTCAAAAGGAAAATAGTATTATTTAGTGCAAAATAGGCCAAGAATAGTAGCTCTGTTCAGCCAGGGAGGCTCTGCTTGGGGCTGCTGGATGCTTCTCCTTGGTGATAGTGTCTCATTTTGCTTGCCCACCAACCCCATGGCACTTGCCCCCTGAAGGAGCCTGGTCCCCACATAGCTGTTGGTACCAATGACACTGGATGTCAGCCAGTCCGGCTGGAGTGCTCTGAGAAGGCAGCAGGAGCCAGTCCAGCTGCCAAGCAAGTGTTGTGTGCTTGAACCAAAATTGTTGGAGCTGTCACAGCGAGTGGCGCCTGAGCCTTGGAGCTGTGGTACTGAGAGGTTGTTTTGCTTTTGGCTTTCAGTTCCCCTGCAATTGTTACAGTGAGCAAAGGCCTGTAAGTGTTGGTACCTCGTGTTCTCTGGAGGAAAGAAAGGCAGGACTGAGTTCCCAGGCAGCTGCTGTTCCCTGCAGCAGCCTGGGCTGTTGTGAGCCCTCCTCACCCGTGCCCTGTGCTGGTGCCAGCGCTGGGGGTTTGCTCCAGGTGAGGTTCCACAGCCTTCACCCAGCAGTGGCTGCTCCTGGCCTGCCCTGCATCCTCCCTGAGTGCTGCTCCCTGTAGTCCCTGCCTTGCCTCTGGCTGTGTGGATGCTGCTGGGAGTGGGCTCTGTGTGCCATGCTGGAGCTGGTGGCCTTTGTGCCTTTACTGGTTTTTGCCTTCTGAATGCCCCAGTGAACCCTGTGCCCGTGTCAGAGAGGAAGGGTGAGACTGGAAGTGCTTGGTTTAGGCAGGGGTGGAGGGGCAGGCCCAGCCATTGTGAGGATGGATGTCCTGCCCTGCTCCTTCCAGACCTCCAGGAGTGGAGTGTGATGGTGTCACCTCCATCCTTGGTCACTCGTGTCCTTTTCTCCGGTCAGCTTGGAGCCTCTGGCTGCAAACTGTGGCTTTTCTCTTCTCCCTGGTGAAGGTGGACAGTCACTTCTGGCATTGCTGTCAGGGCCAGCTGGATGTCTCGTGTTCAGGTGGTTCAGGCAGAGATCAGGCCCTGTATTGCTGGGTTTGGAAGAGAGGGAGGATCTGTGGTGCCCACTGCTCATTTTTCAGTCAAGATGCTGGTGCTCAGGTGCACACTGGACTGGAGAAGCTCCATGGCAGCCTGTACCCTTCTCTGATGCATCCATACCCTGTCCCTTCACCCCATCAGCACATCCAGAGATGGGTTTCCACCTCAACCATTTCCTTTTCTGCTTGCACTTGGCTTCAGAGGGACACCTGGCCTGAGCCAGGCTTTGTCTGCAGCCCTCGCTTCAGGTCCCCAGAGTGTGACGTGGTGACTCTTCCTTCATTGGTGTTAATTGCTCCCATGTGATCTACATGGAAAATTCCCAGCATTCTTCCTGCTCTGTATTTAGATGGGATTTATTTTGGTCTGTTCTTTCCCTTTAACTGTGCCACCATGGTCTAGGGCCAAATCCCTGTTGCTGTGTTGGGTCACAGGAGCAGGGTGCCCCTCATGGGTGCCTGAGACAACCAGCTCTGTCTCACCAGTGCCACCCATCCCACCTGTCCCTTTGAGCAGTTGGGCCCTGCCCAGAGCAGCTGCCCCCCATGCAGTCCCCTCCTTCATCTGCAGCCTGGCCACTGCTCTGCTGTAGCACATCCCTGTTGCCTCTGTGGTGTGTGGGTCACAGCACTGGCCAGGACAGCATCTCCATGGGTTGATGTGTTCTGAGCTGCTCCATCCCTGGTGGCAGCTTCCAGACATCATGGTGTGTATCCCCCGTAGAGTTCAGGGCTGGGCCACCTGCTGCTACACTTTTCAGCTGCATCTGCTATGAAATTGTATTGAAATGTAGCTTAGAGGGCAACCAGGGCTTTCAGAGTATTTACTGTACCCCATAATTTAGAATTGATTGCAATGCAGGTGTCTTTATTATTGTTGTAGTCAAAAGTGAATGAGAGCCTACTTCTTTCGACATGTTAATTATTATATTTTTAACTGAAGAAGGCAGGCTGAGGTTTCTCATAAATATGACATGCAAGGCATAAAGATGTTTTTTGCTGGCTCAGCTCTCTGGACAACTTGCTCTTAGGTGTGAATCACCCATGTCTGGCTCAATATTGCTTTCTATGAAGGACATTTTGGATGTCTTAAAGCCTTGTAAGATCATAGTTGCCTTCAAGGGATGACTAAAAGCACATTGTTTTTGATGGTTTCTTTGTAGCTGGTTGGGGAGGAGAGTTCTGGTAGGTGCTGCTAAGCCTCACTCCCCAGGGTGGTGGATGAAATGTTTCCATGATTCCAGTTCTTATGATCTCTTGGGAACAACTTGACTATGAAAACAGAGAAGGTGAGTCTTTGTGTTAAAGAGATCCCAAAGCTGGGCAAAACTAAGTCAGTCAGTCACTCAAGGTGTTTGTGCAAAAGGAAAAAAGACCCTGAAGCACTGGACTGTGCTAAGTTGCCATTTCTGATCACCCTTTACACTCTACCTCCATAAAATCAGTGTTTCAAGTGACTCTTGAGCTGTTTCTCTGCTGGGCTTGGATGGCTGCCCTGGCCACAGGTTTGCCTCTGGAGCTGTGCCAGGCTCAGGACGCTTTCCAGGTTTGCAGAAGCTTCTGGCTGCTTCCTGCATGGCACAGAGCTTGACTGGTCCTTCTTGCCATTGCAGCCAGAGAGGATAGACCCCAGCGCGTCCCGGCAAGGCTACGACGTGCGCTCGGACGTCTGGAGCTTGGGGATTACATTGGTAAGTGAGGCCTTTGCAGCCTGGCTGCCCTGGGCACTGTGGGGGTGTCACACAGGGCAGCACAGCCCAGCCCTCTGCTGGGTCGGGGGTGAAGTGGCCACTTCCTGGCTCAGGAGCTCCCTGGGTGCTTTCCATGTAAATGGTTCTGCTGAGCCCTGCGGCTGTGTGAGCAGGGAGGAGGTGTTGCATTGTAAATGAGTTTTGTGTTCAGAATCTGAGATGAGGGTGCTGAGTGTGGTGGTGCAGAGCACCCAGCCTGTGTGAATAAGCCTCTGACAGCCCTGGCAGCTGCTGTGCTTTGGCTGCACACAGACTTTGGTTAATCCTGGATTCTGGGATTCTGATTCCTCACTGGCTTAACCACAGCACTACTAGCTGCACACATTGATACAGTGAGAAGCTCTTACTTTCTGCAGGTTGTGAAGCAGAAGAGAAAGCAGAAGCAATTAAGTATGAACCAGTGGCTTCTTTTTTCACCACTGATGTTTAAAAAAATCTCATTTTCATTATCCTGCAAGGAGTAGGGAGTTGGATTCAGAGATCCTTATGGGTCCTCTCCAACTGGAGATATCATGTGATTGTGTTATTCTCATTATCCATTTTCTCTAGTGGTTGTTAGGATGCTTGAGAAGGGACTGGAGGATTTTGCTCTCCTACACTGGTTTGTTTTATAGTCAGTGGAGGAGCAGACATGGCCAGCATGGAAGCATGGCCTGGTCAGGGTAAATCTGGCCATGCCCCTCACACAAGCACCAGAACTTACTGCTGGGTAAAACCTTCCCTCTACATAGAATCATACAGGGAATAGGATGAAGAAGCTCATCTCAATCTTCCTTCTGGGGGGGTTTAAGATTGTTGCAGACTTTTTTCCCCTGACTGAAGTTCCCTGATGTAAACGTGCCTGGTGCTGTTGCTGTCTCCCTGCAGTACGAGCTGGCCACGGGGCGATTCCCCTACCCCAAATGGAACAGTGTGTTTGACCAGTTGACACAGGTAGTGAAAGGAGACCCACCACAGCTGAGTAACTCAGAGGAAAGGGAGTTTTCCCCAAGTTTCATCAACTTCGTCAACTTGTGGTAAGTGTGTACTGCTGAAAGCACTTGGGCTTGGCTTGTTTGGTTGGCTGGTATTTGGCAAGGGTCATGTGTCCAGCGCTTCCTGGCTTCTTTTCACATTCCTGCACCAGCATAAGGGTGAGGACCTCTCATATTTTAGTGGTTTGGAGGTGATGGGGAATTTGTCTGGTTTGGGACTGAAGGGCAGACCTTGGAAACTTCTCTTCAGGAAAACAATTAGGAGAAAACATCTAAGAGGCTGTGCTAGAGAGAGGAGACATGGTAAGGAGGGAAGTTTCCATGGCAGGAAGTTTGTGCCTGCACAGCTGGGATGACAGCAGGGGAGGGAAAGAAGTTACTCCTGTGGTCACTCACAGTGAAAGGATGGGTTTTCCAGAAAACCAAAGGAGGTGAGACCCACTGCAATTGTATCACGTCCTGTAAAAGCTTGTATTTGAGGTCTGTAACATTTTCCCTGATCCCACATTCTCCTAATTATCCTTTTTCCTTTCTTTAGCCTTACAAAGGACGAGTCCAAAAGGCCAAAGTACAAAGAGCTTCTGGTGAGTTCTCAGTGCTGCATCTTTCAATGTCTCCAACACACAGCTCACACGGGGCTGGGCTCAGGCAGAAGGGAGATCTGAAGGAGCAGAGCCCTGGAGTCAGGCAGCAGCAGGGCCTGTCTGTGGTGGGGATGCTGAAGGAGAGAGGGCAGCAATGCTTTTGGCTTGGATCAGTCACATGTGGCTGGCCAGTGCTGCCTGCTGGGCAGAGCAGAGGGTCAGGACTCAGGAGAGCAGAGTTTGGGTTTCACCTCTGCAAGCCATTCCCTGTCACTCCTGTCACTCTCCCCACTGTGGCAGTGCTGATGTGGAAGTATTTCAGTAAATGTCAGTGCTCCAGAGGAGCTGCTGATCCTGCACCCTCACTGCCTCCTGCCTGTCAGCTCCCATCCTGTCCTGCCTCAGTAACCTCCCACCTCCATTAACCTCCCATGTTAAACACATGGATTCCCAATATTGGAAAGCCATGGAGCAGGTTGTGTCCTGGTGTCCTACAGCCACCACAAAGCGTGGTCTTGCACCAGACAAATTCACCTGCTCAGTTTGTATCTGAGGGGCACATGCCAGGAGGGTGACCATAACTCTGTTGCTTTTTATCTGCTTCCAGAAACATCCCTTCATCCTGATGTATGAGGAACGCACAGTGGATGTTGCATGCTATGTTTGTAAAATCCTGGATCAAATGCCAGCAACTCCCAGCTCTCCAATGTACGTGGATTGATACTGCTGCTACATCAAACTCTAGAAAAAGGGCTGAGAGAAAACAAGCTGTAAAGAATTTTCATCACATATTGCAGTGTTTTTAATGCTCGCCCAGACACCATGTGCAATAATATTGGTGTTATTTCCATCCTGTCTGTATACTGTTGTCACATATAAAGTGCATCCCTGTAATATCTGATCACACAGTGTTAGTGTTGGTCACAGAGAGACCTCATCTTGCTCTTTTGTGGACATATTCATGAAATGTGGAAATAAGTACATTTATTTGTTGACTGTGATTGGATAGCACCTAAAATTCATTTCTAGACTCAAAACTTGGAGACTCCTCAGCAGCTACTGGAAAGATTTTTCTCTCAAACTCTTCCGATTGTTGTTTCAAGTAATAATAAAAAGCAAACAAACAAAATTTAGGCGTTGTCTGTCTGAACATTAAGAGACTTTGCCTGGAGGGAGAAGAACTTGCTTAACCAACGAGATGCTTTGCCTTCTGGAGCTGGAAAGGCAAAGGAGAATTTTATTCTTCACAAAGTGCAATAGATTTACTGCTATGAAATTCTGTTGCTTTACAGTCGCAGTGTACTTTCTGGGGACAGTGTGCTCAGCTGAACTTCCTGTCAAAGAGAGATCATGTTAAATATAGTGAATATGTCTTTACCAAAAATATGTTGTGTTGAAAGAGGCTAACATTAAACTATTGAGATGGGACATAATGTATTCTTCCTCCTTTTACCAAGCCAGCCACTCTTCACTCTTAACTAGGTGTCCTGTAAATTGTTACCTGGTAAGATAAGACCTTTGACCTGAAGAATTATTAAACTACTTGATTGAATTTAACCTGCTTGTTGACCTGGTTTATAGTGCACAGTGCTCACCACCCACTGGCTTTGCTTTGCCTTCACCCAGTGCCATCCACAGAGGCTGCAGCTGCTTGAATGGGCCACCAGCTGATGGCTGTGAGTCCTGGCCAGTGTTTCTCATGTTCCTGCTGTCCCCAGCCCTGCTGCTTGTGCCTGTGGCCCAGCCCAGTCCTCCCAGCCCATGTCCCTGAGCTCCTGAGTCCCAGTCCCAACCTGAGCTCTTTCTTCTCGCCGCTGCAGGCAGGATGGAGGGGTGGCCCTGGCTGCCACGGGGCTCTGTGCCCACCCCACCCTGCTGAGCTTGCTGGAGACAATTCAGCACCATCTGCAGACTGAACCTCCTCTGTGACCTCCACAGCTCCTGCACCCAGAGCAAACCTCTCTGAGATTGTTGTGTTCAGAAGGAGATGAGGTGGAGGAGCATCAAACTCCTCTCAGCTGGCCCAGCAAGGCCAGGCAAGCTGTCATCTTCTAAGTGAAGCAGCACATCTGGCTTTTCTGTTTGTTTAATTAACATGTTTTTCAAAGATTAATTTTCCCCCCAAATATTGCAGTTTTCAGGTGTTTAGTAGCATACCAGGGATAAAACACAGGCTGCAGGGTCTCTGCTTTCCATTTTGAGCTGATTTAGGTGTTTGGTAGGACTTTTATCAGTGCTAGAGCAACCCTCCCATCAGAGCACGACCACACATCTGGATGCAGTGGGAATGCAAACATCGTGGTGCTGGCAGGATCCCCACGTCCAACCACAGGCAGCTGTGCCAACCAGCCCGGGGCAGAGTGCTGAGGAGCAACCAGCACACCCCAGCTGGGAAGGAGAGCCAGGGCCGTGCCCTGGGACACAGCTGGTGTCTGTCACTGCAGAGGTGACACGTCCTGGTGCTCCTGCTGCCACCGGGGCTGAGCCCGTGGGATCCCTTGGTCCTGCCCTTCCTGCATTGTGTTCCTCTTGGGTTGCTCCTCAGGCAAGGCAGAGGTTCCTGCAGTAACTGCTCCTTCGGACAGCTCTGGTGCGTCCTGCATAAAGATCAGCCAGACCCATGCACGTAAAGCAGTCATTGTGTCCCCACCCCCGTGGAGCTGTGACTCCTGTCCAGCCTTCAGCCCCTGGAATGGGACTGCAGGTGCTCCAGGTCTCCAGGGCTGCTGGCTGTGGGGGCTGAAGAGACCCAGAGCCAGGAAGGGCAGCCACAGGTTTGGTATGAAAGTCTCCCGATGACAGGGAACCCAAAAACCTGAGATGGAACCTCCCAGAACACACAGGACTGCCTTGCTGTGCCCTGTCGGGATGGCTGGGTCTGTGCTCTGGTGCCCAGGACCAGTTTGCTGGGAAAGGAAATGCAAAGCTTTGAGCTGCCAGTGACAGGAGTGAGGTGCTGCTGCCTGGGTGGCTGTACAGGACAGGTTTAGCCTATTCAACATAGATTATTATAAATTATTAAGGGTGCACCATTTGTTGCAATGTATCTATTAAAAAAAAAAAAAAGAAAAAAAGGTGTATAGTGTTCAGAATCTGTGAAAATAGTGTAAGAACTGTACATTGTGAATTCTGGTTATTATTTTTTTTTCTTGTACCATAGAAAAAATGTATAAAAATATCAAAAAGCTGATGTGCAGGGATGTTGCCTTATTGTCTGTAAAATGAAGCTCAGGAACATAACTGCTTCAGAGAGCTTCCAAATATTTTATCCGGTATCCTGGTTTGATTTCCTCCTCTATTTAAGCTATTATACATGGATCAGAGTGTTTATGTAATAGTTCTATCCTTTTGCCTGCAGGTCAGTTGTAATAAAACTAAGATGCGACTGTGACCTTGTTATTTTCATTTTGTAAGGTCAGACATGAACGGGAAGGTTCACTAAGAGCTGCCTTTCAGGCCTGTCCTCCAAGTGGAAGAAGAAAGCAACCTTCAAATCTGCTTGTGCCAAATGGAAGAGGTGTAGGGCGCTCTGGATGTGTTTTCTCTGGAAGACTGCTGGCCCTCAGTGTGTTCTGGTGCCTCTCAGGCGAGCACTGTTTGCAGCACAGGGAGGTTCTGGTGCCTCAGGACACCTTGTCCCAGCCTCCAGGGAAAGGGCAGCTGCAGCTCCCAGCTCTGATGGCTGCTTTAGCTTTGCAAGAGCAGTCAAGGTGTGCAGAACCCAGATGGTCTCAGAGTTAAGCCCTGCTCCCTGGTGCTGGGATGTCTCTTCTGCCTGGGAGCTGTGGAGGGCTTGGAATCTGCCCAGGCACGTGGGCAGAACTGGACCCCAGCAGCCCCACTGGGAAAGAAGAGTGCTGGGGAGAGGGCCTGGTCACGAGTGCCTGTCCTGCTCCAGGGATGGATGGGACAGGCCAGGAGTGCCCAGCCCAGAGAGAGGAGAGCCAGAGCATCCTGCAGGGATGGCTGGTCATGGTAGACCTCAGGATCAGGAATAGCTGGGAATGCGGGGATCACCAGCTCTTGCAGGGTCTCACCACTTGGAGGGTGACAGTTGTGTCAAGGGAAGGGAAGGCAGGGAAGCCAAACAGAGCTGAAGAAGATTTTGCTGTGTAGAGATGCACAGTGCGAGAGGCTCACGTAGCTCGAGTCTTGTCAGTTTGCCTAAATTCTGTGTTCCCACCACACCAAGCCTTTTTCTGGAGTTTTTTGTTGCCAGAACAATACTTTGGAGATTTTTGGGTCATCCTCACTCTTCAGTCAGAATCCAATCCCTCATTTGGTGAAAGAAGAAGACAAAATCTGAGCACACACCAGGGACAGTCCTTCCGTCCCTGGGAAGGAATGTATTTATGGACATTTCAGTCCTTCTCAACTGCTCCTTGTTGAACTCATGCTCCATTCTCCCTCTGGACTCTTTCCTGCCTGCGGGCACTTCACTGTCCTCACCAAGGATCCCATTGTCACTGTGTCACTGCTGAGGCAACACAAAAAAATCTGACCTCGTCCCAGATGCTGCTGGTATCTCCAACAGGATCCATTCCTGCACAGGGCCACTGCTACTGCTCCTGACAGCCCTTGGACCATTCTAACTCTCCTTGCTTGTGTGATGTGTGATGGTTTTCTCTGGCCCTGGGGCTTGGAATTTTCCTTTGGGCATCATGACCAGGTCTGCAGGGCTCAGCTCTGGCTCTCCCTCTGTACCAGCACACGGGCTCGGAGGCTGCCCTGGTTTCTGTGCTCAGTGCCAGGACTCTGGACCAACCTCCCAGAGGACTTGGAGCCACTGGCCACTGTCTGTGCTTTGTGGACCAGACTGGCACCTCACACCAATTCCTCACAACTTTGTGCCCACTGGCATGGCCAAGGTTCTTCTTAGATCTTCAACAAGCATCATACAGCATCTAGAAAACCCCACTGTGCTCTGTTGTGGTTATTATGTGTCTGGGGAGCTCCAAGACCAGCTTGGAGGTTTGGATGAGCTCAAACCCATCCCTGCCTGGACCCAAACAGGTGGAATGCAGATTGCACCATTGCCTGTTCTGTCAAGAGCACTTTGAGTTGCATGGGCAGCATTTCCGTGAATACTCTGGCATGGCTTCCCCTGGCCTTCACCTCAGCCCTGTCCCTCCTTTGGGGGCCAGGTGAGTATAAATGAAGGGCTCAGGCCTGTGTTACTGGGGGTTCCCCCTGTGCTGGCACTGCTGGGGAACCTCCAGTGCTGGGGACAGCTCTGGGACACTCAGGACAGGAGGGACATGGAGGGGCTGGAGCGTGTCCAGGGCAGGGAATGGAGCTGGGAAGGGTCTGGAGCAGCTGAGGGAGCTGGGAAGGGGCTCAGCCTGGAGAAAAGGAGGCTCAGGGGGAACTTGTGGCTCTGCACAAGTCCCTGACAGGAGGGGACAGCCGGGGGGGTCGGGCTGTGCTCCAGGGAACAGGGACAGGAGGAGAGGGAACGGCCTCAGGCTGGGCCAGGGCAGGCTCAGGGGGGACAGCAGCAGGAATTTCCCCATGGAAAGGGAGGTCAGGGATTGGAAATGCCCAGGGAGGTTTGGAGTGCCCATCCCTGGAGGTGCCCAGGGAATTGCTGGAGGTGGCACTCAGAGCTCTGGGCTGGGGACAAGGTGAGGATCAGGGTGGACTCATTGGTCTGGGGGGGCTTTTCCAGCCTCAGTGATTCCATGATTCTGTTAACACATACATGCTGCATTTTAAAACAAACTCCATTTTCCCTTCAACTCCTGATACAAACCACACGTGTCTATTGCTTTGAGCGTGGTAAGGAAAGATAGAGTGACAGCTCTGAGGAACAAGAGCAGGAAACAGCCTTTATATTTTTCCTGTGTGTTTACAGCTGTGCAAATGCTTGGAGAACGCGATGAAGCACAAACTCCCTCTCCTGGAGACACACGGCACCTTCTGATGGAAATAGAACAGCAGGGCAGTCTGCGAGCTTTGTCCTGGCATAAATCCCATGCCTCCCATCAGGAGAATGTGGCATGTCCAAACAGCAAAGCCCTGCTCAGCTGAGCAGAAGAGCTGGGTGCAGGGGTGTCACCTGCTGGGGTAGCTGTGCCAGCAGCCCCAGAAGCACATTCAGGCCTGAGAAGGGTTTGGTGTGTGTGGAAAGGCAGCTCCTCACACTGAGATTTGCTGGCTTGCAGGACTGTGTGTGGTACCTGTGGGGGTGTCCATGCTGTGCCTGTGGGAGGGAAAGCCTGAACCATGATCTGTGTTCACCTGGCAGCTGGTGGGGAGATGATGTGGATGTCTCAGTGACTGTGGTGGGAGAAGCACTGGATGGTGAAATGACACAGGCAGCTCACATTTTAAAAAAGTTTGCTAAAGGCATGAAAAATGGTAATTTGACTCTCAGAACATTTTTTGTTTTGTGTTACCTCTGTTTTTTCAGCAGGAAGACTGAGGGGGAGTGGGACATCACTGGGATCCTTCAGCTTGGTGTTGAGAGATAGGAAAATCCCAGAACCCTAAATTCTTTGGGACAGACTGTGTGGGAAAATCACCTACACATGGAAGACTGAGTGAGGACTGACTCAAGGCAATGGGAGGGGAGGGGTCCCATCCCACTGCCACACCCTCGTCTTTCCCAGGAGGCTGCTCCAGTTTGGCTGCAGTACCACAGGCCCAGGCAGAACTGGGCTGAGTTCTTCTCCATGCAGCAGAAAATCTGCTGCTGGTGTCCTTGGGGCCTGGAAGGAGACTCGGGATCCCTCTGATCCCTCCCTCTGCCCACAGCAGGACCCTGCAGGGGAGCAGCACAGGCAGGCTCTCCTCAGCAGGCAGATGGTGCTCCAGCCCATGGTTATTCCTGAAATAATCCTAGGCTGAGGCTTGTCTCCTTGTTCTCTGAGTAACCATGACCTGGCTCAGCCCAGGCTGTTTATCACAGCACGCCTGGCTGCAGGTGTGGGTCAGACATTAAAAACTGTTCATAGAACTGGTCACTTGTTCATCTTTTCAGATTCACTTGAGCCATGTCTCAGGAGCATTTCACCTTTAGCCCACCTGGGCAGTCCCTCCTTGCATACAGGTGAGCAAATACATGGGAACCTTTTCTAATCAAAGGAAAGATGTGACAAATCTGGAGACAGACACTCAAGGCTCCTGTGGAGAAGGGTCTGAGGTCTCTCAGGGGAGGTCCAGCCTGCTGTGCCTGTGGGCACTGGGAGGTTTGGCTGTGGCAGAGCTCTGCTTGTACCCAGCACCCTGTGGCCACCAGCCCAGTGCTGACAAAAATACCAAGGGGCTTAGGGAGGGGGTCAGCTCTGCCTCACAAGGGGGACCCAAGGAGTGGGGTCTGCAGGACAACAAAGCAAAGCCAGAGCCAACAGAAGAAAAAGACAGGAGACTCTGGCTGGTGTGTTTAGAAATTTTCCAGGAGAAACTGAATGAATGAATGAATGAATGAATGAATGAATGAATGAATGAATGAATGAATGAGAAGGACTTCAAGGACTGTAGCTGTCCTAGGGCATGGAGCTGGTACCAGGTGGTGGCAGCTGGGATAGCTGTGGTTGTCCCAGTGGTGAAGTCAAACAGCAAACCATGAGCAGACAGAGTGGCAAGACAAGGGTTTTAATAATGAAGGTGTTGCTGGTAACATAGGTAAGGAAATGTGCTTGCTTACAGGTTTGAAGCTGACAGCATCCCTTTAAATAAGGAAATACATTTGCTGAGAGGAGAAAGTTACTTGGAAAACTCTGTACAAGGCCGCAGTGGAGCTGCTAACACTACTCTGGTTCAAGTGCTCTGAATATTCTCCACGGACTGGCTTCAAAAAAATCTCTCACTTAGAAAAAGAAATTCTTTTAAAAAAATGCAACCTGTGATTGTCTATCCTAGCAGTGCCCTGTGACATTTGTACAATAGAAAAGTGGTGCTTTAAATAGTGACTTGAAAGCTACTGCCACGTGCTTTATACAGCATGCAACAACACCAAGGACTGGGGACACTGCCCGGGCTGCAGAGCTGCCTCCCACAGCTCCAGCATCCCTGGGGAAGAGCCACGGAGCCACGGCCAGGCTGGACCTCCTCCCAGCAGCTTCATCTCCGTGTGCTGTCCTTCCAGTAACACAAATATTAAATACACTCAGTCTGTAAATAGTTTAACAATCTTTGTCAGCAACAATATTTACTTTGGCAAAACCAGAGTTGCAATGAACAGACGTGTCCATCACACAGTCTGCAGCAAGTTCTTTGGTGGAAGCCAAGAAGTGAAGCAAAGGCTCCTTCTTGCTAGAGCCTGAGGAAGAATATTGCACAGAGACTCATAGGAGAAATGCTGGTGATTCCAAACGGGAGCATCACTGCGGGAGAGCTTCCTTCTCTGCCGGCTTCGGGAGAACGGGCTCCTCCAGGCTCGGTGATTCACAGCTGTTCTCCGCTAGCCTTGCTCTGGGCTGAGGGAGCAGTGACGCTGGACAGTTCGGGGAGGAGGGGAAGGCTGCTGGGGACCGAGGAGGGACGGGCAGAAGGATGGAGGGGGGATGGCTGAGGAGCAGGCACTCCCACAAAGCCTCAGCCACACGAGTGGTCACTGAGCGTCCCTGCCCGGCTCCCCCTGCTCCCGGGTCATGCAAGGGGTGGAGATCACCCTGACCTGGCTGTGCACGGAACAGCCCCTCCAAAGCCTGGCTGGTCCTTTCACACGACTTGCTCGTACCTCGGCCAAAACACATCACACACCTCTTTGTGTGCACCGGGGACACGGCTGCTCCACTGGGATGCCACGTCCCCGCCATTCCTGCGCCTGCATCCTGAACATCTGCCTCCAATGTCCAGAGCTCTCTGCTCCACGGTCACAGGCTGCAGCCTGATTCAGTTCAGAATGCAGCCAGGACGGCTCCTGGGCCTTCAGCCCCTCAGGACATGCCAAGGTGCCACCGTGAACACGGTGATCTCCATCTCTCATCCACCTGGAGCAGAGCTCTGCAGGGATGGGGCACTGCAGCTTTGGGCAGGAGGGAAGCAAGGGCCTGGCACCAGAGAAGGGTGCTTGGCACCTGCCGGGCACAGCGCCCTGCTCTTCACCCTGGCATGGGCATGGCCAAGATGAGCCCAACAGGTCTGGATGGGGAGAGGAGAGGAGAGGAGAGGAGAGGAGAGGA